AATTAATATTTGTTTTATTAACTTCGTCACGTTATAAATTACAGGTGAAAGAGATATACGATAGGATATTCGGTCAGTTCGATCGATTGCCAGAGCCTGAGTTCCCGATTCATTTAACGAAAGAGAGGGTCTTTTTGGGGAATGAAATATTGGACCGCAGCGACTTTGCGGTCTACGGGAACGATGATTTGTTGCTCCTGCGGGAGCAGAAAACCGCCCTCAAGGGGCTTGCGCAGTGCGTGAACATGAACTGGATGGCTATCCTCGTAAGTATCTTCGAAATTAATCTTTTACAAAAGAACGAACACGTATACGCTTGTTACTAATTCATTGCGTCGATTATGATGACAGATCGGAGGCTCCGGGACTGGGAAGAGCAGCCTCGTTCATCTCCTCGCAAACTTGGCCGGCCAGAAACTGAAGTCGATCGTCGTCAACTCTGCGATGGACACCACGGAGATCCTCGGTGGCTTCGAACAGGTAAGTGAATTTTTATTTCCCATACAAATATCGTTGATCATTTCACTGATCTTGCAATTGTCTGTAAATACTTTAATGAATTTTTTCATTATGATTGATGAAAAATGCTTTTTGAAAAAGCTAGATTTAATAGAAATCGCACGTACCGGCATTTCCGGTGTTAAAGGTTTTTATATGTAATAAGATTTTCAAAGAGAGTCTCGTAGGTTCTTGTATTATAAGAGGAGCAGTGATGTAGGGGTTCATATATGAAAGCAATATTCCTCTTTTATGGTCTGAAGGGAGTACTCGCGTCATAAGTCGGTAAGCGAGCCCCGAGAGGCCTGATAACCGCGCTACGAAAGAATGAGAGTTTTTTTGTAAGGAACTAAAGTAACGTTATTAGTGTTCGTTTAAAATTAGAATTGGGAGATTTTTGCTACTTAAAATAATTTAAATGAGAGTTCTTTGAAAGTGCTTTTTGCTTTCAATTTCTCTTTAACAAACTTTCCTCGTTTAAATCTCGTCTACCTCTTTTATCCTAAGGAGAATAACTCGATCATAAAGTAGGGGAACCAAAATTTAATGTATTTAGTCTTCGTTTAAAATTAGGAGTAAAGGATTGATTCTCTCAAAGATAAAGAATGACTGTTTCTTTTTTAGGGAACTAAATTCTTCTAGCTTGCAATTTGTTTTCCTAATTTGAATCCGTTTAATTCCATAATTATGAAATTGAGGAAACAAAATTGTATTTAGTGCTCGCTTGAAATCCGGACTAAGGGTTTGCTGCTGTCAAAGATAATCTATCTTTATTTACACATTCAATAACATCGATCTCATAGTTTCATAAACAAAATTACGCTCGTATAATATTCAGCAGATAGAAATATTGCAATCAATCTGTTCGGACGATCCTCTCGTTACAACATCTCCCAGGCACCGTTTATTCGATCAACTTAAATTTACCATCTTAAATTATTCTAACTTTTCCTCTGGCTAACGTTCACGTTTTTAACGAATTTGAATTTCGTAAGCTTACTCTTCGTTCCCCTACGAAAGTCTTTCAGGAGGAATTGACATTGTTTCGGGGATGTTCCGGACTTCAGTTCTAATGTCAACTTACTTATTACTTAATAAATCATTTGGTATCATTCGGCTATACAGGGTGTCACAAAAGAAGTGTTAGAGTCGAAAAGGAATTTCTGAACAATAATTTCACTTGGCAAAATGTAAGGCATGGTTTTTGAATTCTTAGCGAAATGCTGACCAATCAGAGCACAGCCACAGCCGAGCCAACCAATCCGTGGCACGGGCTCTACGTATACTCTCATTGGTCAGTGTTTTTCGTTAATAATTCAAAAACCATGCTTCACTTTGCATTTTGGCAAAGGAAATTGTTGTTCAGAAACACGTACAGAATCACTTCTCTTCGGCTCCTAACAATTTTTCTGGGACACCCTGTATAGCTCAATGAATGAAATAAACAGTGCTAAATAAAAAAAAAAAAGAGGAATAATTCCTTAATGTTGGATATAATTTCTTAAGAAATACGAGTTTTATCAAAAGCTGTTATCAGCTTAAGTAAACGGAATTGGATAGAGACTATAATCCAGATAAAACTTCTCATCGATTGATTCTGCACGGTTGAAGGGATTTATGAACCGGATTGTATCTAAGTAGGCGAACTTGGATAATCGTGGAAATTGGCTGCAACGTCGGCGAAACGGTATTTCGATCTATGTACGCCGGGTGCAGCTTATATCCTCGACCAATATTAGTAAACGTTCGAGTTATTGCAGTTCGCGTTCGGAGACCGAGTCCACGGATATCCCGCGTGTCCCTGTAATTACGCGAATTCTGCTTCAAGTACGACCCACTTGCGAGACGTCTTCAAATACCACGAACCTCTGGTTCAATTAATAGCACGTATGGAAACGAGACGAGCTGAACAAGCTAGATATTTATGAGATAATTGAGAGTCCGGAAATCCCCAAATTGTTGCATAGAAAATATATTTGTATAATTGTATGTTTATTTACAATCACATATACAGGGTGGGTGACGACCTCCAAGTTAAATTTGATTCGTTAATGGATAGATTAATGGTAGATCAATTTATTTTTGTAAATGAAAGCTCGAGCATTAAGTCCCTTTCTTACTGCTACCTCTAGTGTACAAACATCGTAAAACTCTTATCAGTAAATTATTATTTAACATTCAACGTTCAATGCACAGTTGTATAATAAATGTAATTAGATTATTGTTAAAGAGACATTCAGTGAATTTGATGAAGCAATAAAATTACACCCTGTATACGTATAATCGTTTTCGTACAATATGCAGTTGTATAATAAGTGTATAATAACGAGTAATAGTAAACGATACAGTATGATAGTTTAAGGATGTATAGGCTATATACTTAAACGATGCTAGCACACGTTGAATTTGTTATTATAGATTCCTATTACTATTAAAAAGCTACCTGTAAAATTTTAAATCAGTTCATGGGTTT